TGATGCAGTTTGCAAAGCTTGTGGCAAGCAAGGACATTTTCAGAAGGTTTGCAGGTCTGCGCCATCTACGAAAAAAGGTCCATCTTCAGTTAACTCTATAATTTCATCTCTCGTTGTGGCTTCAGCACCTCAAAGTCTCACTGATGCTGTTACGCAGCTTACTGTCAATGGGAAATCAATGCAAGCTCTAGTGGATACCGGAAGCAGTGAGAGCTACATCTCTTCCTCAGTTGTTCGTAAGTATAACTGGAAAGTCCATAAGTCTCGAAACAGAATCACAATGGCGAGTACGAATCTTACTAGTCATACTGAAGGACATTGTTTTCTATCCATCTGCTATAAAAACCACACTTATGATCTATTCAAATTTTCCATTCTTCATAATTTATGTGCAGACGTCCTTCTTGGACATGATTTTTTAAAACTTCACAAACACATTGAGATTCCTTTTGGGGGATCAAAGCCGCCTTTTTCTCTCTGTGGTCTACCTTGTGTTCGCGTCGACCTGCCTACTCTGTTTGAAAATCTTTCAAAAGACTGTAAACCGATCGCGATAAAATCCCGGCGTTATTCTCGTGAAGATGAAAGTTTTATTTCCACCGAAGTCAACCGGTTACTGCAAGAAGGTGTTATTGAACCTTCTAATTCTCCTTGGCGAGCTCAAGTTCTTGTTACGTCAAACGAACGCCATAAAAAGAGGATGGTAGTTGATTATAGTCAGACAATCAATCGATTCACTTTTCTGGATGCTTACCCATTACCTAGGATTGACGAAATGATAGAAAAAATCGCACAATATGACATATTCAGCACTCTTGATCTGAAGAATGCTTATCATCAAATTGCCCTAAGGAACGAAGATAAACCATATACTGCTTTCGAGGCTTGTGGGAAACTTTACCAATTTTGCCGAATTCCTTTTGGTGTTACCAATGGCGTAGCTTGTTTTCAACGCATTATCGATGAATTGATCAGTAAAGAACAACTCACAAGCACGTTTGCCTACATTGACAATGTCACTATCTGCGGCAAAACTCAGAAGGAACACGACAAAAATCTAAGGGATAATCAAGCTGCTGATACATTTTCCCGTAGTTTCTGCGGTTCCTTGCAGTCAGTGTGCGACTTGAAATTTCTCCATGACTCTATGTGCCATCCTGGAGTTGTCCGAATGATGCATTTTGTACGCTCGAGAAACCTTCCATTCTCCCTTGACGAGGTGCGCAATGTAACCAGTAAATGCGTGACATGCTGTGAGTTAAAGCCTCAATTTTACAATCCCTCTAATTTCAAACTCATAAAAGCAACCCAACCTTTTGAAAGGTTAAGCATCGACTTTAAAGGACCTCTACCGTCAGCTAGCCGCAATCACTATCTGCTCACGCTGATCGATGAATATTCTCGATTCCCCTTTGCATTCGCCTGCCCCGACATGTCGTCTCAAACGGTAATGAATTGCCTTTGCCAACTGTTTTCGATTTTCGGTATGCCTTCTTACATACATACCGACAGAGGCGCTGCTTTCATGTCTACCGAATTACGGGCATTTCTTCTGGAGAAAGGCGTAGCAACCAGTCGTACTACCTCATACAATCCTCAAGCCAATGGGCAGGTCGAGCGCCTCAATGGAACACTTTGGCGTGCCATCACTCTACCATTAAGATCACGGGGCCTACCAACGGCACAATGGGAGTCTGTTCTACTCGACGCCTTGCATTCCATCAGATCTTTGCTCTGTACTGCAACGAACGCCACGCCACACGAACGACTGTTTACCTATAACCGAAGATCGACATCTGGGACAACTCTTCCTACTTGGCTCACTGTGCCAGGACCAGTACTTCTCCGGCGGAGTGTTCGTCAGTCCAAATTCGATCCCCTGGTTGAAGAGGTGGAGCTATTGAATTGTAACCCGCAATTCACTCACGTTCGCTTCGGTAATGGACGTGAAGATACAGTTGCTCTTCATCATCTGGCACCCAAAGGCGAAGATATAGATCAAGTTGAAAATTCAATACCGGAGGGCGACGCAATTCCTGAGCAACAAGTAAATGGGGATGCGACCACTGATCCTAATATTCTTCGTGAAGAAAATACAACTGAAACGAACAACGGGCGTTTTCTTTTGGAAAAACAACAACGTGTACGGCCTTACAATTTGCGTACCAGAGAAGCGTGACATAATGGCTCATTCCTTTTCAAGCCGCAGTGAATGTTGTGAACTTTTCTTATAATACGTATCTAGTCATATTCATATCTCTACCGCTATTAACACTCTTTTTTTCCTTTATATGTTTAAGCCATTCCGGCTTCATTGTAAAATGAATAAAGCCTAAATTCTTGGTTCATTCGTCTTTTCAAGATTCAAGCATCACTCATCGTTCTAAGACTCAATCACCTTCGTAACAAGGTGAACATAGATAAAACAGAGGTGATGAAGATTCCTGGCCAACAGCAACAGCAACAACAACAGACAACAATCAGTATAAATGGGAGGAACCTGAAAGAAACAACCTCCTTCACCTACCTGGGAAGCATCGTTTCAACTACAGGCGGAATTGACGAGGACATCAAAGGCAAGCTTTCATTACTCTTAAGTCTGTGTGGAGGTCAGCAGCACTCATCATCAAAATAAAAATAAGATCCGGATTTTTAACTCCAATGTGAAGTCGGTGCTACTTACTATACGGGTCAGAGACTTCGCACGTCATGAAGAGCATCTCAAACAAACTTCAGACCTTCATTAACAGTTGTCTTCGCTCAATACTACTCAAGATCAGATGGCCAGCCAGAAAAGATCAGCAACAGAGATCTTTGGGAGCGAACCAACCAGGAATCGATTGTGAAACAAATAGGCAGGAAGAGATGGAGATGGATTGGCCATACTCTGAGGAAACAGGCCATCAAGTGACATCACTAGACAAGCCATCGCTCGAGTGGAACCCGAAAGGGAAGCGGCAAGTTGGTCGTCAGTGCAAGGGTGACTTGGAGGAGGTCATGTGAAGAGCAAATGAAAGCATGTGGGCAGACTTGGAGCAAAGTGAAGAAGTTGGCAGAAAACCGAAGGCAGTGGAGACGCGTGGCTGAAGCCCAATGTTCCTCTAGGAATTAAAGGATATTATAATAATATACTCAAAATCGAAACTTTCACAACGAGCGACACGCAGTTAGCTTCCCGAAATGTCTTTCCTCTATATCCAGAAGAAACCCAGTGTAAGGCGTCTTATGAAATAGACGGAGTTACTTTCGGAAATTGACTGTATTGTGAATGGGCTTTTCAAATTGCTCCACACAGTGTTATCGGTTTTTGTTCATAACACAATCTGCTTGACGAACTCTGGTCTAACTGAATATTTTCCCTAGTTCGTGGATGAAAAAAGCTGCAGCAAAATTTAGTCGCTACTGAAGTAGCTGTCACTTCATTCACTTATATAGGGAGAATTGTCTCAACTACAGGAGGAACGGACGAGCATGTCAGATCGAGTAACAAAATTCGGATTTTTAACACAAACGTCAAGTCAGTTCTTCTATACGGATCAGAAACTTGGCGGGTGGGTCACAAAGAATATTTCCAAAAGGCTGCAGACCTTTATTAACAACTGTCTTCGCTGGATCTATACTGAAGATCATATGGCCGGGCCGGAAAGAATCACCAACAAGAAACCATGGGAACAAAAAAACAAGAACCAATCGCCCAATAAATATGCAGGAGAAAGTGGAGATGGATCGGACACTCGCTGAGGAGACCGCTGGGTGACATCGCGCGTCAAGCCCTCGAGTGGAACCAGGCCGAAAGAGAAGCGGCGAGTGGGACGTCAGTGCAAGGGTGACATGGAGGAGATTGTGTGAAGAGGAGTTGAAAGAGTATGGACTAACATGGATGCAGGTGAAAAGTACAATCGAAGACAAAAGCAAGTGGAGACGTACAATTGAAGCCTTATGTTCCACTAGGAACCCAAAGGAACAATAATAATAATAATGAAGTAGCTGTTGCCTCTACCTACCTGATTTGCCAATTACCCGTATGAATTTACAGAGGGTTTTCTCGCACGATTATGCCATTTTATGCACAGAATCAATACGTAAACTACTATACTTACTATCTTCAAGACTAACTTATGAGCACAAAGTAGTTACAAGAAGCTCAGAGAAATCTAATGTAAGCCGAATGCAAGTGCATTTAAGCAGCTATTTCATTTTTGCTACCAAGTCATTGATATTATGCCTACTAAATAAGGACTAAATGCCACGCTGAGAAGTCAATCATGAGTTACAAATTAACCGATTGAATGGGTTTACAGCCAGATAAATTTGAGTAGATTGGATGGTAATATCATCAGAAAAATCCAGCTCCTCACTATCATATCATATATAAAGTTGCAGGAGAGTTCAGACTAAAGTACTAGGCAAAATTACAGCTAAGTTGAAAATAAATGGCATTGTGACTTGAAATACAAAAACCCCTGAAGACTTTACATGCCTTACAGTATATGGTAAAAACATGGTTTTTGATACACCAACATATTATTGGAGAACTACATGCCTTTCCCAGTCCGTTTGATGTATATGGGAGCATATTTATTTGATATCATGAAGTATCAGGCATTATTCACCACAACACAATGATATCAAAGGAATACATATCACAGCAGTACAAACTTATCGATAACAATTAATTTCACACGACTAAAACAGGACTGCTGCATTACTTAATTTATTCAGAAAACTGAGAAGTGACGGAGTAAGAGCAAAACCTGATGGAAGGACTGAGAACGTGGCAGTTAAACTAGACTACAAAATCTCGGATACTCGCTTGAATGAACACGAGAAACCTCACTCTACGCAGTCATCTCTTGCCAAGTGTCATAAGACAATTGCTCACTTTAAAAGCCGACACCCCATAGGCTTTTTATAGCATCATATATGGGTTCAACCAATACAAAAAAATCATTTAACCATGTGAAAATATGATAGGAAGTATATTACGAATAAATTCTCACAAAAGTATATGAGTTGGACAAATACCACTTCTTTGAAAACGGAATATACTACATATTATCAGCAAGTCACATTGTATTCCCAGTAAGTAATGAAACACAAACGACCTACGCAACAGCGTTGGTCAGCACAACCTTCAAAATTAAATAAACGCGGGAAGTGTTACAGTGTTATAGTAGTCTGTTTAAACAACATTTTCTTAATTAGCTTATATAAAAGTACACTGGCCCCTAAACTTTCGAAGATATGTCACATTAAGATTTGAAAGGCTTTTAATGAATTTCCTGTCATTTACTTGGCTTTGCGAGTTCACATAAATTCATCAGTCCACGGCCACCGGCGCGCTCGCGTAGTTTGTGGCTTGATGTTAATTAATATCAAGTTCTGGAAAACCTAACATGTGGCGGAATTGTCAGCTGGGCCAATATAAAAACGTCCTAATGATAACAATCATAATAATGGCAATAAATATTGGAGTAAGGCCATAGAGAAGGCTCTCTTTACAAATCAAACATTACTTTTGTCATTTCTCCTGTCTTCTAAATGTCTAAATAATAATAAATAAATAATTTTTCCTTCATGTTCCCAGTGAAACATAGGGCTTCTAAATGTCTTAATGACGTTTTTTCAATAACAGTAGTTTGCATTTCATATAATTATTATATAAACACCTAATACCTGAAGATCGATCAGCAGTTGCGAAGGGTGAAATATTACAACGATCTCACAAAATCATAGCCGTTTCACACTACAGCTTCGTTGTCACACTTTTCTAATCTAATCATTCCAGTTGTTTATTATTATTATTCCCCTGGGTTCCAAGTGAAACATACGGCTTCAACTCCACTTGGTTATATTATCTGCTGTCCTCGTCATGTGTGACGATGTGTAAATTTGCAAATTGGTTCGCACTTCCTGAATCCAACTTGTTCTAGGATAGGGGATTTCTACTTATACTGCATCATTTTCTTCTGTTCGAGATGATGCGACTCAGTATTTTACTTTGTGTGGACAAGGGCATGATTTTTCAAGGCTTAAGCTGCGCTTATTTGACAGTTTGACAAGGTTGCCAAACTTTCTTCCAGTCGGAATGTAACTTTCCTTCCTGACAAACCTTGTGCAATAGCGGCGTGAGCACATATGCCACAGTCTCTGGGTTACTTTTCAGTGCTTTGGAGGTTACCTTGTCTAACCCCGCCGGAATTCAGTATATTATTCGCATCTAGGTTTCGTGCTGTCGTTGGAGGATTGGTGCCTACTGGCAGGCAGTTCTGTGAGTGCCAAATGGGGTATTTCTGGGCGAGTTGTGGGCAGTGATAGTGAACTTATATAGCAGAAAACAGACCACTAAGAACTAAATAAGTATCAGTTTCTGTCTAGAACTGACAAGGTCTCAAAAATCTGAAACAGTAGGGAGATTAATCTTGATATATTTCTATGCTCTGAGGATTTTTGAAGAAAAAAAGTGCAAATAAACGAAATTATCGGTTTGAAATACCCATATGAAACAACATGAAGCACTGGAAAACGTAAACAGAAAGCATATTAAAGAGCGCTTTTAGGTCTTATTAAGTAAACATAACTCTGTCTATCACAATAATTGATACTGGAATACTTATGAACTCTTCATACAATAATTATACAAAATAAAGTTTATAGAAAATGGGAATTCGATGAAAAGTCCAAACTCCGCACCACTGATTTTCCTCAGCGAATTTTCTCGTCCTTACCTCACAAGGTTCACGAAAAATGCAGCGGAAGACAGTGGTTTCGAAAAAAAAAATTCTGGATCCATTTTGATAAAGTTGATGTCAATGTAGTTGAAGATGCAACGATCAATTCATCGTTGTTTGCTCAAAACCAACTTCCCCAACTTTCGCGCAGGCATCAATACACCAGTCATCGTCTCATCGGTCGCTGTTCAGAACGAAGTCAGGAGAAAACCGTCAGAAGTAATATTGGGATTCATTATTGTAATATCTGTTCATAGACCCTAGTTGTAAAGCTTAGTTGTAAAGTTGGCTATATGTTGGTGTTACAATAAAGAATTCTCAAGCGGCCAATCGGTGTTTTGGTTTTCGCGTCCGTTATAACTAAGCGTTTCTGAGAAACTTCAAGGAACAGCGTGGGCCCGAGCGTAGCAAGAGCTGGGCATTAACGGTTTACGAGACGTGGCTGACAGTTTCTGACGGTACGGCGTCAGTTTTTGACGGTTTAGGACAGTTGATGACAGTTTGGATAGTCACCGTTCATCTTTCCTCGTGCCGGTCAAGTCTTCTTCGAACAAGCAATATCTAAAGCGTTTTTGGTATTGGGTCAAGTTCAACAATGCCTGGGTTGAAGAAGGGACAGAGCGTCTTGGATACAAACAGGAAAGTAAGTCATGGTGACTTGTCTGTTAACTGTAACGATGTGTCTGATGTTAAGCATGACGTGGTTGATGTTACTGTTTCGCCGTCCAGAGAAAATAGGAACATCAAACTCCCTAAATTTGAACTACGGTGTTTCGACGGAAACCCGGCTGATTATTTACAATTTGTAAAGGAGTTTGAGATCATGCTGAGTAGTTTTCTATTAAGTGATGAATTGAAGTTAATGTATTTGATGAGGTATTGCACTGGAGATGCTGCAAGAGCTGTACAGTGCTGTAAGCTCATGCCCCCTAATGAGGGATACGGTGAGGCTATGAGCATACTACGTCAGAGGTTTGGAAGACCTTCGATGATTGTAGGGAAATTATTGGAAGCTGTTAAGGGTAATGGTAGTCAATTAGGAAATGACTTCAAGGCACTCTCTGAGTTTGTGGATAATCGGATGACTTACAAGAATACGTTGATTTCGATGAAATGCATGAGTGATCTCAAATCGAGTACGGTCCTAGAGGTAATAACGAGACGCCTACCTACTCGACTGCAAAGGAAGTGGGTGAAGATAAGCTCCCGTATGGAGGATGAAGGTATCGAGCCGAAGTTTGATGATATCCTGACATTGGTAAAAGATCGCGTCAATCTATCTATGAGCACGTTCGCCAGTCTATTGCATCTCACCCCTAGAATAGAGCAGTCTGAGGGTAAAACGCAATCATTGATGACGAATAGGCCTCAGGAAGGTGGATATCGAGAAGGCTCCATGATGTCTGGTAATGCATATAGACCTAGTGAGTGTAACAGGTGTCGTGGTACATGCTCAACAGATAAGTTGCAAGATGCAAGACAAACACGTTTGTGTTTTACACGTTTGCAAGAGGTGCATACAATGATGTACTCTGAATCAGTGAGCAAGTTCAGTGATAAGCTAAATGTGAAATCAAGGTCTGACTCCGAATTGTGTGACGGTAACGGTGTGATCAAGAAGTCTGTAGTTGCAACTGGTGAGCCATTGTTGAAAAGTATGCCACAGAAGAGAGTTACAGTCTCAGAGTCCAGTTCTGACTCCACAAGTTTGCAAGGTATTACTGTTCAGAGTGAAGATATAAAACCTTTAAGGACTTGTGAGGAGGAACCGAAATTGTCTACTTCTGTTATTAAAGAGTTTGAAAATGATGAAATTGACGGTAAAGTGAATATTCGTGATAATGATCATGATACTTCACATTTGTCTTTGGTTGATCAGGATGAGATGAGGGATATGCCTACTACTGCTAAGTTGAAAAAAGGTTCCGTAAAACTTGAACGTGAAGTAGAATTAAATGCAGACGCAGTTGCAGAAGGCATGCATACTTGTCAGACGGTCAGTGAAATTGATCAGCATGTAGCCCACCTATCATCAGATGCTAGTGCTAAACCCGAACTAATGGTAAAAGACAGAAGTGGTGGTAGTCTTGCAGTTAGACAAATTTCTGAAAGCCGAGCAACAACAGCTTCTGATCCACCGCTAAGTACATCAACTGGTATCAATCAGTTGTCGCTGTTGTCATCCACAATGAGAAGGACGACCATCAACTCCAGTATATTGTGCAATGACTATGATAGTATTGGTGCGCCTGAAAAGACGAAAGATATTCCTCAGTTTAGAGAGGGTAAGCCAAGTGTAAACGAGAGAGTAATTGTTAAATTGACGTGCACGAATAAAGGTATTTCTAGTTTCAAGTTACTATTTGAATGCTATTATCTTTGGTGTAAATTACTCTGTTTCTACGCTTGGTTGACCAGATACGTCGTGTGTTTGTTCGTCATCTATATTCTACGATACAATGACATGAGCGTGTTACCGTTCAGATTTGAGGACATAGCTGATAGAGGGAAGTCATCAAATGAACTCTCCGACGATTTTCCAACCTAGGGCGTCAACCTGAGAAGGGTTGTAGGCGTACTGCTGTAAGTCCTACAATTCTTCAAGGGTAGTACGTCGAAGCGCAGTCCGTCGTACTTGGCGTGTTATTTTGTGTATATGTTCATATTGTATATACTGAATTGGTATCATCTGTCATTTAGCTGTTGGTAATTCTGTTTGTGTCTGGACGACTTCCACTTGGATCATCAACCTGAGAAGGAATGTAGGCGTACTGTTGTAAGTCCTACAGTTCTTCAAGGGTAGTTCGTCAAGGCAGAATCCACAACATTTGATGTATTGATTGTGAGTGCGTTTGTGTTAAATAATCGAGTGGGTTCCAATTAATGTAATTGTTGGTTAATCTTGTTTGTGTCCGGACATTCTTCAACCTACAATCGTCAACCTGAGAGGGATTTCAGGCGTACTGGTGTATGTCCTGCAATTCTTCAAAGGAATTGCATCACGACATGATCTGCGTAGTTATGTGTACTGTTTGTATATATATATGGTGTGTCATATCAACTGGTGTTTTTTGAATTCACTTGGATTCCTTATCTTGTATAATTTTGTTAAATTTTCGTCGTGATTACTTCTGAAGTTGTTTCTAGTCTTCCACATCCGTGAATGAATTGATTGATGTTAAAGACAGCAGATGGGTGATATACCCCGGGGAGGCTAGTCCTGAGAATGACGTGCACACGGAGATAACGATTAGCTGTGATCTCACACGCCGATGAACGAGAGTGTAGACGACTGAGGCTTGCATACGCCAACGTTACTAGAACTGAGGCAGAATAAGTGACAAGCGATCGCCGTGGTAATTGGTAGTGAACAGACAAAAGGATGTGTGAAGAGTATCATGAGGTGGTGCTATGGTCACGTTG